AGAACACTGGTGGATGAAAACGAAAAAGTATATAAAACCGTGAATTCTGTCAAACTGATGAGGCTGAGAGATGCCATGACATGACATAGTCAATGCTAGTTTTAGGCAGGAATGCCCCTTTATGGAGGACCAATGCTAGTGCTCAATGCACAAACGGCCCAGCATGACATTCTGTTTGCCTAGCGCTGAGCAGTGCTGTGAAAGTGCTGTTATATTGATGAGTTATACAAGCTGATATTAATGGTGTAACGATTCACAAAATTCATGATTCAGTTTAGTACACAGTGGTGCCTCGATCCCATTTTCTGAGCACTTTAACATTAAACAAGAGCTGTGCTTTATAGTGCTCTGTTCTAACATGCTAGCCAAAAGCTAATATGTAAGCCTCTGCCGATGCACCAGCCACACATTTCACAATAATATGTATGATATATTGCATTGTTGATTGATCATATTGATATATAATATTCTGTATTTTTAGTCATCTAGCTAATATGTTTTTATTAATAACACACTTTCCCTATTTTTCCTTTTAGCAATTGAACAAATGGTTACTTCTTACACAGATATAGTTGTTGGCATTCGAATCTATGCATAATTGTGGGAAGGGACTTAACTTACTCTGTCCAAGAGGAGGAATCTGTGCTACCGGGCTAAACAGTCACACTTCTCTTTACCATCTACTCAGTGGACATTGTTTTCCTGACTGTGCTGTAGTGTATTTTGAGGCACAGAATGTATAAAAAGAAAAATTGCACATACTGGCCACTTTATTAGAAACCCCCTGTTGCTCCACCTTGCTTCTATGCAGAAACTGTAGCCCATCTGTTGACGTACAACTAATGTTAGCCATCCTCTATTCCTTCATCAGTGGTCAGTTTCTGACCACAGACTCTGATTATTTTTGGGTGGAGGACCACTCTCAGGCTAGCGATGACACTGCTGTGCTGATAGACTCATGCCAGCACCTCACTCACTGCCATGCCACTACTATGTCAGTACCCAGATTTCCATCTATCTATTGGTTCAAGCAAATAACTTTTCTTGAAAATGGTGCAAAAACATTATGCAAATTAATCTGGTTCCATCAGCTCTTGTTCAGGGGAAAACAATCTCTCTGTCACATTTGTAAAAACACTTCTTAGGAACATGGAGCAAGCTTAGAAGGAAATCTTGAATGCTGAGTAAATTGTTTTTGCTGTTATGTTTAATTTTATTGCTCTATTTCACCTCTAAGAGCACATTGTGTGAGACAAAATGCACATAATAAAATGTCTTAAGATCAGCTGCAAGCACCTTCTGTTTACCACTGAAACCATGATAATGTTTTCTTCTTTGAAAGGATAAAAGGAAGTTTTAATTTCTTCATTAGTTCACTGGTACCTCCTGCCTTCTGTCATGCTTTGTGTCTAGGGCCGAGTATGACAGAATCACCTGATTAGACCTATGACTGTATTCTATTCACATTTATGTCAAATGCATTTCCATTGTAATTCATTAATCACATTTCTTTTTATCAGGAAAAAGCGAGTGTATAAATAAATGTTTAAATAAATGTTTATGTGAATTTTGGAGATTGTATTTCATATTTGCAGTTTCCTTAAAGTCATTTTTATAAAATAAAAAAAAAACAAACTGTATGGATAGAAACCCAGCTAGTGTCAACAGCTGTGCTGAAAATGCTCCACCCCCCCAAATAATATCAGTTCTGCAGCCATCCTGTGTTGAAACTGACCGATGATGAATGGGATAGTGGGTGGCTGACAGATTGTGCATGACAACAGATGGGCTACAGTCTGTAATTGTATTTGACTTAAAGTGCTCAGTAGTGTATAGTGGGTGAAATATATATATATTTGCAACATTACTGTGTGAAAGTAATGTATATACACAATATAAACATTTATACTGTTGTCTTGTGAACTGTAAACTAATTCCAGACCTCCCTCCTCCCTCTTAGCAAAAATAATTCTATATAGTACCTCTGTTGACTTGTTCTAGTAGGACAACCTTTTTTCTTGCTATGTCAAACCATTTTAACAATGTTTCTTTAAAGGACCATCAACAGCAATTTTTCCATCATAGAGAAAAAACATCTATGCATTCAGAGAGTACCTTGAGTGTTCACAGTCTATGTAAGACCATTGCTGTTATTAAGGACCCTTAAAGAACCACTTTTTAAGAGTGAACTTGTAGCTGGCTTATTTTGAGACACTGGCCAAAATATTGTATCATGACACTTTAAGATTTTTTTTCTATACACAATATGCCACACTATTTTTTTTTTTTTCTAAGGTTTGATAAGTTGGAATGGGCAAAATGAACCAGTGGTGACATGTTACAAATATGAAGAACTCTGGGTACATAATGAGCTGCATTAAATCAATCAGGACTAATTATTGTCAGTGTTGGAACAAAACCTGTATCTTCACAATGGTAACTTTACAGGAGAGAACAAAAATATATGTTAATTTTAATGTAAAGTCAATGTAACCACAATTTTTTCCAAGTCACTTTGGACAGTTTCATTTAGTCTATTTCCTATGAGATTTTCACACAATATAAAGGGCAACTGGCCTGTAAAAAAAAAAAAAGAAAAGATGCAGGGTTTTTTTCCAACAGCATCACTATGCCCTCTTTTTTGTAATGAAACATGTAGTTGGTTAGTGTTCTAGAAGTAGTGAATGTATCCATGATATGCTTAGAAAAGCTGATGTAATTTATCACACTCACCATAAATGTTGTCATATTGCCCAGCACTACGTCTAGGATTAGCTTAGAGTTCACTAACATATCTTAGAGTTCACTAACATATCTGTATCTATACACACTGTGCATTTTACTGATTGAATTCTTGCAGCATTGTTGTTGTTGTGGCTTACAGCATGTGCTGGGATAAACTTAGAGTTGGATACCTGTGGTAAACACAAAAATCCCTGTTCACAATGCATTCATCAAACTAGCAATCTGAGTTAGTCAGCTATGAAGAATAGGGCCGTAGGCTGTGCTGCCGTTTTGCCGATGCTTGCATGAGGCGTTAATGAATGAACTCGGGCCTCTGAAGAGTTTCTAGCAGGTCGGAAAACAGCTCTTAAAACAGACGTGCTGAATGCTGATGTATCTGTTTGAGCTTGACAAGTCTCTTTAGATAGGCAGTGCTTCTTTTTTGCGCTGTGCCTGTATGATTGATTGGCTTGCCATCTCTCTGAGATCAATATGAATAACCTAAATTTAAAGCAAGAAGAAGAAGAATGCTCACTGATGCACCCAAGAATCAAACGGATTGCTTTGTCAGGTGGACTGTTTCATGTGGTATGGACATGTTTGTAGTGACAGATAAGCTTTACTGTGAGAACGCTCTAAAGAAATTGAGCGGTTTGTGCATATGTACCAAATATTATCCATATTTCAAAACAAATGCAACATCCTGTAATCATTTTGAGCCATGGCTGCTTAGTATAGCTGGGCTTTCCATTCATTGCATTACGATATTTCTGCATTTTAAATTCTGTTTGTAGTCATGTTCATGGCAGGGAAGGAGCACAGTAACCTCAGCAGTGTTAAATGAACTCCATCGGTGTTACTTAAACTCCTACAGAGTGCTTTTTGCTGGATTTCAGCCTCATACGGACTCTGTAGGAGTTCATTTATCCTAGCTACGTTTACTATGTGGGTCCACATGCTACAGACTTCATGCTGTCATATTCATTCCTTGTAATCTGGTAGGTTTGTGAGCCATGTTAACCCAGTAATGGGCTGACTTTCACTGTTAATAGGGTTTTCCCATCTAAGAAAAGACTGGAATTGGCCATCCCCCACTTCACAACTTTCAATTCAATTGTATTCTGAGTATTTCATTGCACTGAGATTGTGGTCATTTCCATATTGTGTTTGAATGTTTGGATAGAGACAGATAAGGGTTTTTAGAGGCAGCGAATGATGTTCCACTGTACAGTTGGGGTTGGTTAGGTGTTGACCTATTTGCAGATTATCGCCCACTTAAAATGCTGATTAAATATTTTCCACCATAACCAGCTTATGATAAATTACAGAAAGTTCCTGCTGTTCTTTGATATTATAGGAAATTCCTGTTATTCTGGGATATTCCAGGATGTTCCTGTTATTTCATTTCTGTTTCTTCATTCATGCTTTCCACCTGCACTGCACAGTTTTGTGTTTACCTACTCTAACACATGGGAAGAACCTCATCATCAGCTAATGGGACTCACGTGCAGGAAAACCCATGAAACTGTTCAGTGCAGGTGGACCACAGCACTGGCACTGGTAAATGCTGGGCTCAGTGTTTTATTATACAGACTGTAAAGAGGGGTCATGTATGGGGTAAAGGCTTAAAACGGGTACTTGTGGAACACACAGCACAAATGCCTGCAGTACCAATGTTTTGCAATGTGTGACATAATTTCTGTTGAATAAATGTCCATCTATAGAAGTATAATAACTTTTAAACTTGTTTGCTGGCATCATTAATTGAAGCACAGCAAAATCCCCAATGTTGAATTCACTCTTATGGAGCTGAATTAGGCTTTACAGTGTTAAATGAATACCCACAATGTTTATTTAACAATATAATCCCAAACACATTCAGTGATGTTGAGCTCTGGACTTTGGTGGTTCAGATCTGAAGCAGCTTGATTTTCTCCTCTTTCTCAAAGATGAAAGCTTTAAGTGCTGTTTATCTGCTGGGGACAGTTTTGGTGTCTACCAGGTCTTGCAGGTGGCTGTTAGGAGTCTAATTTTCTCTGTAGCTTTTAATCATTTTTTGACTTGAAATCAAACAAATTAAGGGTGGTCTCTGACTTTTTTACATTAGCAAATACTGTGCTAGTAAAGAGATTATGAATCAGATACAGTGTTGAATTGGGTCTTACAATGTTTATCTGTTTCTGGCTGCACTTGTACAGAGTAAATACTGTTGTTGTTCATTCAACATTGGGAACTTTGCTGTGCAGAACTTTAGAGGTACACAGAGAGCCTCTTACCTTGAACTCCTCCAGGATTTTATACGTCTTCCCTCTGTACTCGCAAAAGTTTTTGACCTCCTTGCACTCCGGGCAGCAGCCATTGTGCTCCACCTTGGTGCACTTGGGGTGTATTTTGGGGCACTCGGGCTGTTCGCACACTGGCCCGTCCTCCGTGCACACACACGGGCAGTTTGAGTGGCCTGGGAAGAAGCGCTCGCCGAGCTTGTAGACGAAGCCGCTGTCGTCCACGCAGCCTTTGCCCCTGTAGTCGTCGAAGAGCACGTCATTGCTGGCTGCCCGCTCGGCCTCGGCCTCGTCCGCAGCGTAGTCCTCGGCCTGCGACACAGCGGCGTTCACAGCCAGCAGTACGATGCAGGCAGCAGGGAAGAGAGGGCCCATCCTTCGCCGTGGCAGTCCTGTTGTTGTTATTATTATTATTATTATAAATATCTATTACAAAGCAAATAAGACATTAAAGACAATCCTTTAACAAATTGCTAAAAATTAAGGTGCCAGAAAGAGCTCTTTGAAGTTATTCCATAGAAGAAGCTCCCAAAAAACTTTGAGTGGATGGTTAATTAAGAACCATTTTTGTAAATGAGCTAAGAATGTGGAGAACCTTTTTAAAGAACCTCCACATAATGTACCATTTAGAAACCTTCATTTTTAGGAATACAGAGACAAAATAATAATATGTTACACTGATTATAGCAATATTCTTCATCATTTCTGTTGGTGAGGCGAGGATAGTTAAAGAGGATAACATGAGAAAAACGTAGAAAAAACATTGTTATAGTGTTAATTATTTGGTTGGATCTTGGTGGTTTGGTTCTGCTATTGTATGTCTTGTATCTCGTGTATATTGTATGTTTTTACTCTACATCCAGGAGGTGAAAGTGTTGTGAAATGGCTGATATCTCTGGACCAAAGCCAGAGAATCACAAGCATAATCAGAGGTGGGCAGCAACAGGTTCAGTTCCATCAGTACCAAGTATACAAGCACAGTGTGTGAGACTTGGTGCACTGTCAAAAAAATTAGTACCAGATACAAACAGAGTAAACATACCCTCAAAGCTGCAATGGGGGCCTTAAAGTCCAATTGTGTACCTTAAATGAGTACTGAGGGTACACCACATTCACTTTCCCAGAGGAAAGGGGCATATTTGTTCAAAAACTAAAAACTAAAATAAGAAGGCTGTAGTCAACAGAGGGTGTGTGGAGCCAATGCAGCTCATAATATAATACAAAAGCAGTAGAATGTGGTCCAGTTATGTTCCCTACCTAAAGATACTGAAGACGGGCTTTTGAGGGTACCACCCCATTGACAGTATAGTACCTTTTTTTCTGAGAGCATGTTTCAAGTATATTTATGAGGAATGTCATTCGGTATTTGTTCTGCTTTGCCGTCCCTTTAGCTTTTTATTTTAGGCCAAAAGAGTCCCAAAAAAGAGAAGAATAGAGCCCACCTTTAGATCCAGTACCACCCTATAGGGAACTCAGCACTGGAGCTTATAGGGTTTCTTTTGGTAGCTACTTTTACTTTTATCCAGTCATTATTTCATTGAAGTAGCAAAACTGCTTTAACTGTAGGATGTTTTTTTTTGTAGGATGCTCCTCTACCCACCTCTGATCAGAAATGATGGAGCTCTGTGTGGGTGCTGAGTTGCAGGGTGGGTTGTCAGACCTTCTGTTGTTTTCTGAAAGCGCACATCAGCTCTTTCTATCTGAACACCATCTATTTTTTATGTGCTCTGAATGCAAGTCCTGTCCATTAAACGGTGGCTTATTAAAACGTTACCTTAATAGCGTCTATGCGAAATGAAAAGAAAGCTATTGTTATAATGAAGTGTTGGGCCATGGAGAATGGGCGTGCTCTTTTGAAGTGAGGTAGAGAGCGAGACAGAGAGAGAGAGAGAGAGAGAGAGAGAGAGAGAAAGAGAGAGGGAGAGAGAAAGGGACAGTGTGTGCGTGTGCGTGCGTATGTGCTATCTAGCCTGCTTCAGCCTGTTCACCGAGGGCGAGACTCTAGACAAACGCAGGAAAACGTGAAGAGCCCCTCCAGACTCAGACGCTTAAGGAAGGTGTCGCAGGTTTGGAGGGAGGCTGGGTTCTGGTGCGCAACACGTCGCTCTACTATTAGTTCGTCTCTAATACCAAAGAGCAGATACGAGCAGGTCTGCAACGGTCGAGCCACGAACTCCAGCAAACTCCTGACAGCTTCGAGTGAAAAAAACAGAAAAGGCATGAAAAAAGGCCACGTTTTCTCTGAGTCATTGAGGAGCGCGCTGTGGGATCTGCTCCAAATGCTCCTTCACTCGTGAGGCTGCGAGAAATTAACCACGAAATGGCAGCGCGAGCGGAGAGCAACTTTAGCCCTGAAATATAAAACCCAGATCGTGCCAGTGTTTCTCTACAGGAGCTGCTTCTCTTCCCACAGCCTGCGCTGAAAAAGCCTGGCTGGGAAATTAACGCGTAGTGATGTTGAGTCGTGCATTCGCTCGTCTGTTTGGTGAAATAACTTTTTTTGCTCGCCTGTGTTTGATTGTGATGTTTAATACTGAGCATTTAACTCACCGTGTTGAAACGTCTGGTTCCACTTTGTTGGAATCGAGGCAAAACGAGCTCAGAGCGCCTCTGTGATGGTGAATGGAGGGGAAAAAAATCCCAATCCCAATCAAAAGAAAGAAGACCACTTACTCCAATAGAAGAAATAATCCATCTTGATTAAAAAACAGGAAAGAAAAACCAAAACAAAACAATTAGAAAGGATCTCTCGTCATGATCCTGCCTCGATGTTCTGAGGACGACTTGAGCGATGAAATATCCAGAAATATGTTGGACGTAAACATATTTATATTTATCCTTTCCCGGTCATCTGAGTGAAGTGACCGCTCGTGCCGCTATGCGAGGAAAACAGATCCAAAATAGGTGTGGAATAAAAAAATATTATACTTCCCCTCTGGTGTTGGCTGATTACCTAGTCGTCCGCGGCGATGAGTGGAATTTCAATCAACTTCCAAATGCTGCAGGTGTACGAAGGAAACGCCATTAGGTCTTTATATCCAACCATCTGAGAATCGGGATTAAAGATCCGCAACGCATGAGCTGCAAAGGCAGACGACGGTGGGAGCCACAGTCATTACGTTTCCACCTTTTAATGCGAAGAGAAGTTGAGCTACGCTGGAGATTCTCGGCGCCCCACACACACACATACACACACACACACGCGCGCGCGCGCGCCTGCGCGCACATACACACTCCCGGGCTCCGTCGGATGAGAGGAAAAGAGCAGCGTCAGAGACGGAGCTGATAAGTGGACTACGACGGCGGTGGGAACTGAGGAGCTGTTCGAGTGCGCGGTTTCAGCACCACGGACAGCGACTGGGTTCAGCACTGTCGCTGTCCAGAAGCCGATCTAACGACGCGGCGTAGACCAAAGGCTTCGCGCTGTGGGGAATTCAGCACCATGGACAGCGGCTTCAGCTGCGGCTGTAGCGTAAACGAGGGGCTTCAGCACTGTAGCTCAGGGGTTTAACGTAGAATAAATGTTTTATGTTTTAAATGCAGAGGCTACTAAACATTTCAGCAGCTTAGACTGGGCAGTGACTAAACGTTTCATGTGGGGAATCTAGTGTTGTGGACAGCTGCAGCTGTAATTCTCAAATAAATGGCTGTAGCTTTGAGGTTTAATGAAGGATAAACGTTTAATGTTTAACAATCAGAACCGCAGCTGGAGCTGTGATGACTAAACGTGTAGTGTGGAAATTCAGAACCATGAACAGGGCAGCTTCACTTAATCTTTCAGCACCATGGACAGTACCTGGAACACTGTGGCTGTCCACTTAGCAGCCCAATAACCCAACGTAGACTACACATTTTATGTCAAAATCCACCACCATGGACAGGGCAACTTCCACTCTACTGCTGTTCAGTTTGCAGTCTAATAACACGACATAGACCGAGCATTGTGTGTCAAAAAATCCACCACCATGGACAGAGGCAGCTTGAACATTGTCCAGTTGGCAGTTTCACAACACAGACTATAAAAGAACAAGAGTCATAAAAGCAGTCTTAATATCTCCCCCCTCATCATAAAACACTTTGCCAACAGGGCTCTGTGATATATGTGCATGCTCTGCTGGGTACTTTTACTTGTGCTATATTGAGCAAGCATTTTCTCAGATTAAAATAAGGGGGAAAGATCTCACCCACCTCTAATAGGAACACATTTATCAGCTATTCTGAATGTGCAGATGAAATCAAACAAAATCCTAAGATGTTTATGATGATGGTTTGAATCTTGTTTGTATGCGTGCAGCTGAAATCAAAGAAATCATGCGAAATTGATTTACAGAGGGTAGCCCGTAGGGGCCACTGCATTACTGCATTTGGAGCCAGAGTGAGGATACCTTTTATGGACCAAGGGATCATAAGAGATAAATAAAGTGAGATTTGACTGTACTGTGATGAAGTTAGACCAAAAAAGGCTCTTCACGGTGACACCCTCAGTGAATGGAGATGCTGGTAATTATGATGCACAGTACTATGCAAAAATACCCATTTATTAATTTCCAGTCGAAACATTGAGTATGTTATTCATTTTTCAGAAGACATGCCTGAGGAGATATAAGATGACCCACCTGCCTAAAGAAGAGTCAAAGGAAATTTTTTTTTTTCCAAAATTGGTGTTAAAAGACAAAGACCTGAATATTTTTGGTTGGTGGACTATTCTCAGTCCAGCAGTGACACTGAGGTGTTTAAAAACTCCAGCAGCACTGCTGTGTCTGATCCACTCGCACCAGTGCAACACACATTAACATGCCACCACCACGTCAGTGTCACTGCAGTGCTGAGAATGATCCACCACCTGAAAATCTAAAGACTGTAATTGAAATTAAATAAATGAAGGGGGGTCTCTGACTGTATGAAAGTACTGTATGATATGTATATTGAATTATTGACTTCAGGTCATGCCTTTTATCTGTTTGACAAGCGGACTAAACCAGTATTCAAATTCTTGCTGTTAAATGAGGTCAGATTTAGAAGGCTGCATTGGGCCAGTTTAATTACCCAATTTTCTGCCTGGGGGGAACATACAATAGGTTTTCAAAAATCTATGAAGCAGGACCAATCCAAACTAACATTGACATGGCCCAAACTGATATTGACAAAGCAATAGAGGCAGGTTACGGGCATCTTGAAGGGCCTCTGAAGCACAAGGAGAGTATGAATCAGCAGGTGTGTCTGTGTGTGTGTCAGTGGTGGGTTTCACTCTCCACTGCACTGAATTTATGGTGAAAATCCCTCAAAATGGTAATGACAGCCTACCTGAAGCTCATGCTGTTCACGCAGAAGAGTGAATCGATAAAAGGCATCAGCAAGGTGAGGAGACGAGCTTCACTCTTTAATGTGAAACCTCAGCTTTGGGCTATCTGCCCCTAAAGACACATTAGACCTGTTTCAAGAGAGCAGACACATGCAAAATTAACGATGAGACATCAACTCCCAAGGCCTTTGTCCCAGTGTGACTCTAAATTGAATAAGCATGGTGCAGAGGGAGACGAGGAAGCTACATATCCATTAGGTAGAAGGATGAGTCTCCAGTTGTCCTTTCTTTCTGACTCTGATTTTATAGATACAAATCATCTGTGTACTATTTAGCTAATGCACTCCTGTTGCAAAGTTAGAGGTAGTCTTTATGCCAAAGTATTTTTTTCCCTTTGAAGCATCAGTCAGTGTTATTGCTTAGTGAATTATGTATTTACAGTGCTGAGCAAACGTCAGAGAACAGCCCTCATTTATTTCATTTCCAGGCAAAACAGCCATTAAGTAGAAGTTGTTCATATTTCAGTGTCAGGAAACAAAATCAGAAGACATATTTAACAGAAAGTTACACAGTAGCCTCCACAACCCAAGTAAATGATCAAATTTATCACTATTTATTGTGTCCATGCTTTGCATTTCATTCTTTTTCAAGAGTCTTGCTTTCAGTTTTACAAAGTAATCTGCAGGGATATTTTTAACTCCTCCAAAGTTCAGTCTTAGACGTTGGTTTTACTTTTTGCTTCTTATAATCTAAATAATCCCAAGTGCATTCAGCAGTGTTGAGGTCTGGACTCTGGGGTGGGCAGTCAACTAGAGGGTGCTTTTCTCTTTTTGGGCCAGGGTAAGGGTTAGGATTAGGTTCTGGGTTGAGGTTAAGGTTAGGGTTAGGATTAGGGCCAGGGTTAGGATTAGGTTTTGGGTAAAGGTTAAGATTAGGATTAGGGCCAGGTTTAGGTTTTGGGTTGAGGTTAAGGTCAGGATTAGGATTAGGGCCAGGGTTAGGGTTAGGTTTTGGTTTGAGGTTAAGGTTAGGAATAGGATTAAGGGCAGGGTGAGGGTTAAGTTTTGGCTAAGGTTGGGTAAGGTTAGGGTTAGGATTAGGGCCAGAGTGAGGTTTAAGTTTTGGGTATTGCTGGGTAATGTTAGGTTCTGCATAATGGAAGTAACATTAGTAAGTAATGTATCAACAGAACATCTACAAGATATTTATTTTGGTGTATTCAGGTGCTTCACTACTGCTCCTTCACTGATATGTTACTAATCTGTCAAATGTTTATTAATCATTTACAAATAAAGTGTTAGCAATATTTTTTCTCTAAGTTGATCTAGATAAGAACATCTGCTAAATGCTGTAGATGACTGCTTATAAAGGGTTACATTTGTATGCATCAACTAATGAGCTGGCATTGTAATGCATACAGAGGTTGTGTTCTCACATGCTGTAAATGGACTGAGGCTTATGTTGCATCAGTCACATCTTTAAAACATCAAGGTCCTGTGTTGATGACATGGGCAGCATGTAGTAGTCTGGGCACCCACTGTTGAACTGAGCTTCTTCACCCCTCCTGCCCTGCACATAAACTCCTAAAAATAATGGTGCCAAAAAGGGTTCTTTGGAGCAACACCATGAAATGATCACTTTCAGGAATCTTTAAGGAATCAAAAGTGGTCATTATATGGCATTGGAATATAATCCATAGAGCCCTTTTTAGCAACTTTATTTTCAGTCTGCAAGTCTTCTGACACTGGATTTCCAGATTGGTGACCACTGATGGCAGACCTTTTAGCATCATGGCTCACAAAGTCTGCTCTTTAATCTTTCTCAGCCCAGCTTAAAACCTTCCTGCTGTTTTAATACTTTCATTCTCCTTTTCATTCCTGCGGTTATTGTTATTGTTTACTTATGTTTAATGGCTTTGTTTTGGGGCCATTATGTTGTTCTTGTTGTTGCATGCTTTTGTAAAGTACTATATAAACTGCACTAAAACTACTATTGCTATTATTACCTGCTTGTGTTACATTTCTTCAGAAATGAAGGGTATCAATAGGGAGTTTGACCCCCTTTGCTGCAGTAGCAGCCTCTACTCTTCTGGTAAGGCTTTACACTAGATGTTAGAACATTGCTGTGAGGATTTGATTGCATTCAGCATCAAGAGCATTAGTGAGGTCAGGTACTCATGTTGGGTAATCAGTTCTAAATCACAATTGCCACTCATTCCAGTACTACTGGATGGAGCTCCATCACTTCAGAGAACGCAGCTCCACCTCTCCACAGTGTCACATTCTATTGGCAGTGCTTTTCTATAGAGATTATACAAGCTGTGTGTGAACAATTGAACTAATTAGAAAGGCTGTCTGGATACTGTTAAACATGTATTGTGTTATTCTCTCTAAGTTTGTG